AGTGCGCAATGGTATCGCCATGGCCAGCCACATCCGCTGAGCCACCCCACGCGGCCTGCAACCGTGCAGAAGGCCTCGGTCCCGATTCTCGCCTTGCCCACCAGCAGCCCACCACCAGTGGCTACACGGCCCCTAGCGATGGCGCCAATGGCTCGTTGTCGGTCAATTAGTGCGCAAATGGTATCGCCATGGCCAGCCACATCCGCTGAGCCACCCCACGCAGCCTGCAACCGTGCAGAAGGCCTCGGTCCCGATTCTTGCCTTGGCCACCAGCAGCCCACCAGCAGTGGCTACACGGCCTCTAGCGATGGCGCCAATGGCTCGTTCGTGGTAAATTAGAGCGCAAATGGTATCGCCATGGCCAGCCACATCCGCTGAGCCACCCCACGCGGCCTGCAACCGTGCAGAAGGCCTCGGTCCCGATTCTCGCCTTGGCCACCAGCAGCCCACCAGCAGTGGCTACACGGCCTCTAGCGATGGCGCCAATGGCTCGTTGGTGGTAAATTAATGCGCAAATGGTATCGCCATGGCCAGCCACATCCGCTGAGCCACCCCACGCGGCCTGCAACCGTGCAGAAGGCCTCGGTCCCGATTCTCGCCTTGGCCACCAGCAGCCCACCACCAGTGGCTACACGGCCCCTAGCGATGGCGCCAATGGCTCGTTCGTGGTAAATTAGTGCGCAAATGGTATCGCCATGGCCAGCCACATCCGCTGAGCCACCCCACGCGGCCTGCAACCGTGCAGAAGGCCTCGGTCCCGATTCTCGCCTTGCCCACCAGCAGCCCACCACCAGTGGCTACACGGCCCCTAGCGATGGCGCCAATGGCTCGTTGTCGGTCAATTAGTGCGCAAATGGTATCGCCATGGCCAGCCACATCCGCTGAGCCACCCCACGCAGCCTGCAACCGTGCAGAAGGCCTCGGTCCCGATTCTCGCCTTGGCCACCAGCAGCCCACCACCAGTGGCTACACGGCCCCTAGCGATGGCGCCATTGGCTCGTTGGTGGTAAATTAGAGCGCAAATGGTATCGCCATGGCCAGCCACATCCGCTGAGCCACCCCACGCGGCCTGCAACCGTGCAAAAGGCCTCGGTCCCGATTCTCGCCTGCCCACCAGCAGCCCACCACCAGTGGCTACACGGCCTCTAGCGATGGCGCCAATGGCTCGTTGGTGGTAAATTAGAGCGCAAATGGTATCGCCATGGCCAGCCACATCCGCTGAGCCACCCCACGCAGCCTGCAACCGTGCAGAAGGCCTCGGTCCCGATTCTCGCCTTGCCCACCAGCAGCCCACCACCAGTGGCTACACGGCCTCTAGCGATGGCGCCAATGGCTCGTTGGTGGTAAATTAGTGCGCAAATGGTATCGCCATGGCCATCCACATCCGCTGAGCCACCCCACGCAGCCTGCAACCGTGCAGAAGGCCTCGGTCCCGATTCTCGCCTTGCCCACCAGCAGCCCACCACCAGTGGCTACACGGCCCCTAGCGATGGCGCCATTGGCTCGTTGGTGGTAAATTAGTGCGCAAATGGTATCGCCATGGCCAGCCACATCCGCTGAGCCACCCCACGCAGCCTGCAACCGTGCAGAAGGCCTCGGTCCCGATTCTCGCCTTGCCCACCAGCAGCCCACCACCAGTGGCTACACGGCCTCTAGCGATGGCGCCATTGGCTCGTTGGTGGTAAATTAGTGCGCAAATGGTATCGCCATGGCCAGCCACATCCGCTGAGCCACCCCACGCGGCCTGCAACCGTGCAGAAGGCCTCGGTCCCGATTCTCGCCTTGCCCACCAGCAGCCCACCACCAGTGGCTACACGGCCTCTAGCGATGGCGCCAATGGCTCGTTGGCGGTCAATTAGAGCGCAAATGGTATCGCCATGGCCAGCCACATCCGCTGAGCCACCCCACGCAGCCTGCAACCGTGCAGAAGGCCTCGGTCCCGATTCTCGCCTTGCCCACCAGCAGCCCACCACCAGTGGCTACACGGCCTCTAGCGATGGCGCCAATGGCTCGTTGTCGGTCAATTAGAGCACAAATGGTATCGCCATGGCCAGCCACTTCCGCTGAGCCACCCCACGCAGCCTGCAACCGTGCAGAAGGCCTCGGTCCCGATTCTCGCCTTGCCCACCAGCAGCCCACCACCTGTGGCTACACGGCCTCTAGTGATGGCGCCAATGGCTCGTTGTCGGTCAATTAGAGCACAAATGGTATCGCCATGGCCAGCCACTTCCGCTGAGCCACCCCACGCGGCCTGCAACCGTGCAGAAGGCCTCGGTCCCGATTCTCGCCTTGCCCACCAGCAGCCCACCACCAGTGGCTACACGGCCTCTAGCGATGGCGCCAATGGCTCGTTGGTGGTAAATTAGAGCGCAAATGGTATCGCCATGGCCAACCACATCCGCTGAGCCACCCCACGCAGCCTGCAACCGTGCAGAAGGCCTCGGTCCCGATTCTCGCCTTGGCCACCAGCAGCCCACCACCAGTGGCTACACGGCCTCTAGCGATGGCGCCAATGGCTCGTTGGTGGTAAATTAGTGCGCAAATGGTATCGCCATGGCCAGCCACATCCGCTGAGCCACCCCACGCAGCCTGCAACCGTGCAGAAGGCCTCGGTCCCGATTCTCGCCTTGGCCACCAGCAGCCCACCACCAGTGGCTACACGGCCCCTAGCGATGGCGCCAATGGCTCGTTGGTGGTAAATTAGAGCGCAAATGGTATCGCCATGGCCAGCCACATCCGCTGAGCCACCCCACGCAGCCTGCAACCGTGCAGAAGGCCTCGGTCCCGATTCTCGCCTTGGCCACCAGCAGCCCACCACCAGTGGCTACACGGCCTCTAGCGATGGCGCCAATGGCTCGTTGGTGGTAAATTAGAGCGCAAATGGTATCGCCATGGCCAGCCACATCCGCTGAGCCACCCCACGCAGCCTGCAACCGTGCAGAAGGCCTCGGTCCCGATTCTCGCCTTGGCCACCAGCAGCCCACCACCAGTGGCTACACGGCCTCTAGCGATGGCGCCAATGGCTCGTTGTCGGTCAATTAGAGCGCAAATGGTATCGCCATGGCCAGCCACATCCGCTGAGCCACCCCACGCAGCCTGCAACCGTGCAGAAGGCCTCGGTCCCGATTCTCGCCTTGGCCACCAGCAGCCCACCACCAGTGGCTACACGGCCTCTAGCGATGGCGCCAATGGCTCGTTGGTGGTAAATTAGTGCGCAAATGGTATCGCCATGGCCAGCCACATCCGCTGAGCCACCCCACGCGGCCTGCAACCGTGCAGAAGGCCTCGGTCCCGATTCTCGCCTTGGCCACCAGCAGCCCACCACCAGTGGCTACACGGCCTCTAGCGATGGCGCCAATGGCTCGTTGTCGGTCAATTAGAGCGCAAATGGTATCGCCATGGCCAGCCACGTCCGCTGAGCCACCCCACGCAGCCTGCAACCGTGCAGAAGGCCTCGGTCCCGATTCTCGCCTTGGCCACCAGCAGCCCACCACCAGTGGCTACACGGCCTCTAGCGATGGCGCCAATGGCTCGTTGGTGGTAAATTAGAGCGCAAATGGTATCGCCATGGCCAGCCACGTCCGCTGAGCCACCCCACGCAGCCTGCAACCGTGCAGAAGGCCTCGGTCCCGATTCTCGCCTTGGCCACCAGCAGCCCACCACCAGTGGCTACACGGCCTCTAGCGATGGCGCCAATGGCTCGTTGTCGGTCAATTAGAGCGCAAATGGTATCGCCATGGCCAGCCACATCCGCTGAGCCACCCCACGCAGCCTGCAACCGTGCAGAAGGCCTCGGTCCCGATTCTCGCCTTGGCCACCAGCAGCCCACCACCAGTGGCTACACGGCCTCTAGCGATGGCGCCAATGGCTCGTTGGTGGTAAATTAGAGCGCAAATGGTATCGCCATGGCCAGCCACGTCCGCTGAGCCACCCCACGCAGCCTGCAACCGTGCAGAAGGCCTCGGTCCCGATTCTCGCCTTGGCCACCAGCAGCCCACCAGCAGTGGCTACACGGCCTCTAGCGATGGCGCCAATGGCTCGTTGTCGGTCAATTAGAGCGCAAATGGTATCGCCATGGCCAGCCACATCCGCTGAGCCACCCCACGCAGCCTGCAACCGTGCAGGAGGCCTCGGTCCCGATTCTCGCCTTGCCCACCAGCAGCCCACCACCAGTGGCTACACGGCCTCTAGCGATGGCGCCAATGGCTCGTTGGTGGTAAATTAGTGCGCAAATGGTATCGCCATGGCCAGCCACATCCGCTGAGCCACCCCACGCGGCCTGCAACCGTGCAGAAGGCCTCGGTCCCGATTCTCGCCTTGCCCACCAGCAGCCCACCACCAGTGGCTACACGGCCTCTAGCGATGGCGCCAATGGCTCGTTGGTGGTAAATTAGAGCGCAAATGGTATCGCCATGGCCAGCCACATCCGCTGAGCCACCCCACGCAGCCTGCAACCGTGCAGAAGGCCTCGGTCCCGATTCTCGCCTTGCCCACCAGCAGCCCACCACCAGTGGCTACACGGCCTCTAGCGATGGCGCCAATGGCTCGTTGGTGGTAAATTAGAGCGCAAATGGTATCGCCATGGCCAGCCACATCCGCTGAGCCACCCCACGCGGCCTGCAACCGTGCAGAAGGCCTCGGTCCCGATTCTCGCCTTGGCCACCAGCAGCCCACCACCAGTGGCTACACGGCCTCTAGCGATGGCGCCAATGGCTCGTTGGTGGTAAATTAGAGCGCAAATGGTATCGCCATGGCCAGCCACATCCGCTGAGCCACCCCACGCAGCCTGCAACCGTGCAGAAGGCCTCGGTCCCGATTCTCGCCTTGGCCACCAGCAGCCCACCACCAGTGGCTACACGGCCCTTAGCGATGGCGCCAATGGCTCGTTGTCGGTCAATTAGTGCGCAAATGGTATCGCCATGGCCAGCCACATCCGCTGAGCCACCCCACGCAGCCTGCAACCGTGCAGAAGGCCTCGGTCCCGATTCTCGCCTTGCCCACCAGCAGCCCACCACCTGTGGCTACACGGCCCCTAGCGATGGCGCCAATGGCTCGTTGGTGGTAAATTAGTGCGCAAATGGTATCGCCATGGCCAGCCACATCCGCTGAGCCACCCCACGCGGCCTGCAACCGTGCAGAAGGCCTCGGTCCCGATTCTCGCCTTGGCCACCAGCAGCCCACCACCAGTGGCTACACGGCCTCTAGCGATGGCGCCAATGGCTCGTTGGTGGTAAATTAGAGCGCAAATGGTATCGCCATGGCCAGCCACATCCGCTGAGCCACCCCACGCAGCCTGCAACCGTGCAGGAGGCCTCGGTCCCGATTCTCGCCTTGCCCACCAGCAGCCCACCACCAGTGGCTACACGGCCTCTAGCGATGGCGCCAATGGCTCGTTGGTGGTAAATTAGTGCGCAAATGGTATCGCCATGGCCAGCCACATCCGCTGAGCCACCCCACGCGGCCTGCAACCGTGCAGGAGGCCTCGGTCCCGATTCTCGCCTTGCCCACCAGCAGCCCACCACCAGTGGCTACACGGCCTCTAGCGATGGCGCCAATGGCTCGTTGGTGGTAAATTAGTGCGCAAATGGTATCGCCATGGCCAGCCACATCCGCTGAGCCACCCCACGCGGCCTGCAACCGTGCAGAAGGCCTCGGTCCCGATTCTCGCCTTGGCCACCAGCAGCCCACCACCAGTGGCTACACGGCCTCTAGCGATGGCGCCAATGGCTCGTTGGTGGTAAATTAGAGCGCAAATGGTATCGCCATGGCCAGCCACATCCGCTGAGCCACCCCACGCAGCCTGCAACCGTGCAGGAGGCCTCGGTCCCGATTCTCGCCTTGGCCACCAGCAGCCCACCACCAGTGGCTACACGGCCTCTAGCGATGGCGCCAATGGCTCGTTGGTGGTAAATTAGAGCGCAAATGGTATCGCCATGGCCAGCCACATCCGCTGAGCCACCCCACGCAGCCTGCAACCGTGCAGAAGGCCTCGGTCCCGATTCTCGCCTTGGCCACCAGCAGCCCACCACCAGTGGCTACACGGCCTCTAGCGATGGCGCCAATGGCTCGTTGGTGGTAAATTAGAGCGCAAATGGTATCGCCATGGCCAGCCACATCCGCTGAGCCACCCCACGCAGCCTGCAACCGTGCAGAAGGCCTCGGTCCCGATTCTCGCCTTGGCCACCAGCAGCCCACCACCAGTGGCTACACGGCCTCTAGCGATGGCGCCAATGGCTCGTTGGTGGTAAATTAGAGCGCAAATGGTATCGCCATGGCCAGCCACATCCGCTGAGCCACCCCACGCAGCCTGCAACCGTGCAGAAGGCCTCGGTCCCGATTCTCGCCTTGGCCACCAGCAGCCCACCACCAGTGGCTACACGGCCTCTAGCGATGGCGCCAATGGCTCGTTGGTGGTCAATTAGTGCGCAAATGGTATCGCCATGGCCAGCCACATCCGCTGAGCCACCCCACGCAGCCTGCAACCGTGCAGAAGGCCTCGGTCCCGATTCTCGCCTTGCCCACCAGCAGCCCACCACCTGTGGCTACACGGCCCCTAGCGATGGCGCCAATGGCTCGTTGGCGGTCAATTAGAGCGCAAATGGTATCGCCATGGCCAGCCACATCCGCTGAGCCACCCCACGCAGCCTGCAACCGTGCAGAAGGCCTCGGTCCCGATTCTCGCCTTGCCCACCAGCAGCCCACCACCAGTGGCTACACGGCCTCTAGCGATGGCGCCAATGGCTCGTTGGTGGTAAATTAGAGCGCAAATGGTATCGCCATGGCCAGCCACATCCGCTGAGCCACCCCACGCAGCCTGCAACCGTGCAGAAGGCCTCGGTCCCGATTCTCGCCTTGCCCACCAGCAGCCCACCACCAGTGGCTACACGGCCCCTAGCGATGGCGCCAATGGCTCGTTGGTGGTCAATTAGTGCGCAAATGGTATCGCCATGGCCAGCCACATCCGCTGAGCCACCCCACGCAGCCTGCAACCGTGCAGAAGGCCTCGGTCCCGATTCTCGCCTTGGCCACCAGCAGCCCACCACCAGTGGCTACACGGCCTCTAGCGATGGCGCCAATGGCTCGTTGGTGGTAAATTAGTGCGCAAATGGTATCGCCATGGCCAGCCACATCCGCTGAGCCACCCCACGCAGCCTGCAACCGTGCAGAAGGCCTCGGTCCCGATTCTCGCCTTGCCCACCAGCAGCCCACCACCAGTGGCTACACGGCCCCTAGCGATGGCGCCATTGGCTCGTTGGTGGTAAATTAGTGCGCAAATGGTATCGCCATGGCCAGCCACATCCGCTGAGCCACCCCACGCAGCCTGCAACCGTGCAGAAGGCCTCGGTCCCGATTCTCGCCTTGCCCACCAGCAGCCCACCACCAGTGGCTACACGGCCCCTAGCGATGGCGCCAATGGCTCGTTGGTGGTAAATTAGAGCGCAAATGGTATCGCCATGGCCAGCCACATCCGCTGAGCCACCCCACGCAGCCTGCAACCGTGCAGAAGGCCTCGGTCCCGATTCTCGCCTTGCCCACCAGCAGCCCACCACCAGTGGCTACACGGCCTCTAGCGATGGCGCCAATGGCTCGTTGGTGGTAAATTAGAGCGCAAATGGTATCGCCATGGCCAGCCACATCCGCTGAGCCACCCCACGCAGCCTGCAACCGTGCAGAAGGCCTCGGTCCCGATTCTCGCCTTGCCCACCAGCAGCCCACCACCAGTGGCTACACGGCCTCTAGCGATGGCGCCAATGGCTCGTTGGTGGTAAATTAGAGCGCAAATGGTATCGCCATGGCCAGCCACATCCGCTGAGCCACCCCACGCAGCCTGCAACCGTGCAGAAGGCCTCGGTCCCGATTCTCGCCTTGCCCACCAGCAGCCCACCACCAGTGGCTACACGGCCCCTAGCGATGGCGCCATTGGCTCGTTGGTGGTAAATTAGAGCGCAAATGGTATCGCCATGGCCAGCCACATCCGCTGAGCCACCCCACGCAGCCTGCAACCGTGCAGAAGGCCTCGGTCCCGATTCTCGCCTTGCCCACCAGCAGCCCACCACCAGTGGCTACACGGCCTCTAGCGATGGCGCCAATGGCTCGTTGGTGGTAAATTAGAGCGCAAATGGTATCGCCATGGCCAGCCACATCCGCTGAGCCACCCCACGCAGCCTGCAACCGTGCAGAAGGCCTCGGTCCCGATTCTCGCCTTGGCCACCAGCAGCCCACCACCAGTGGCTACACGGCCCCTAGCGATGGCGCCATTGGCTCGTTGGTGGTAAATTAGAGCGCAAATGGTATCGCCATGGCCAGCCACATCCGCTGAGCCACCCCACGCGGCCTGCAACCGTGCAGAAGGCCTCGGTCCCGATTCTCGCCTTGCCCACCAGCAGCCCACCACCAGTGGCTACACGGCCTCTAGCGATGGCGCCAATGGCTCGTTGGTGGTAAATTAGAGCGCAAATGGTATCGCCATGGCCAGCCACATCCGCTGAGCCACCCCACGCGGCCTGCAACCGTGCAGAAGGCCTCGGTCCCGATTCTCGCCTTGCCCACCAGCAGCCCACCACCAGTGGCTACACGGCCTCTAGCGATGGCGCCAATGGCTCGTTGGTGGTAAATTAGAGCGCAAATGGTATCGCCATGGCCAGCCACATCCGCTGAGCCACCCCACGCAGCCTGCAACCGTGCAGAAGGCCTCGGTCCCGATTCTCGCCTTGCCCACCAGCAGCCCACCACCAGTGGCTACACGGCCTCTAGCGATGGCGCCAATGGCTCGTTGGTGGTAAATTAGAGCGCAAATGGTATCGCCATGGCCAGCCACATCCGCTGAGCCACCCCACGCAGCCTGCAACCGTGCAGAAGGCCTCGGTCCCGATTCTCGCCTTGCCCACCAGCAGCCCACCACCAGTGGCTACACGGCCTCTAGCGATGGCGCCAATGGCTCGTTGGTGGTAAATTAGAGCGCAAATGGTATCGCCATGGCCAGCCACATCCGCTGAGCCACCCCACGCAGCCTGCAACCGTGCAGAAGGCCTCGGTCCCGATTCTCGCCTTGGCCACCAGCAGCCCACCACCAGTGGCTACACGGCCCCTAGCGATGGCGCCAATGGCTCGTTGGTGGTCAATTAGTGCGCAAATGGTATCGCCATGGCCAGCCACATCCGCTGAGCCACCCCACGCGGCCTGCAACCGTGCAGAAGGCCTCGGTCCCGATTCTCGCCTTGGCCACCAGCAGCCCACCACCAGTGGCTACACGGCCCCTAGCGATGGCGCCAATGGCTCGTTGTTGGTCAATTAGTGCGCAAATGGTATCGCCATGGCCAGCCACATCCGCTGAGCCACCCCACGCAGCCTGCAACCGTGCAGAAGGCCTCGGTCCCGATTCTTGCCTTGGCCACCAGCAGCCCACCAGCAGTGGCTACACGGCCTCTAGCGATGGCGCCAATGGCTCGTTCGTGGTAAATTAGAGCGCAAATGGTATCGCCATGGCCAGCCACATCCGCTGAGCCACCCCACGCGGCCTGCAACCGTGCAGAAGGCCTCGGTCCCGATTCTCGCCTTGGCCACCAGCAGCCCACCACCAGTGGCTACACGGCCCCTAGCGATGGCGCCAATGGCTCGTTGGTGGTAAATTAGAGGGCAAATGGTATCGCCATGGCCAGCCACATCCGCTGAGCCACCCCACGCAGCCTGCAACCGTGCAGAAGGCCTCGGTCCCGATTCTCGCCTTGGCCACCAGCAGCCCACCACCAGTGGCTACACGGCCTCTAGCGATGGCGCCAATGGCTCGTTGGTGGTAAATTAGTGCGCAAATGGTATCGCCATGGCCAGCCACATCCGCTGAGCCACCCCACGCGGCCTGCAACCGTGCAGAAGGCCTCGGTCCCGATTCTCGCCTTGGCCACCAGCAGCCCACCACCAGTGGCTACACGGCCTCTAGCGATGGCGCCAATGGCTCGTTGGTGGTAAATTAGTGCGCAAATGGTATCGCCATGGCCAGCCACATCCGCTGAGCCACCCCACGCGGCCTGCAACCGTGCAGAAGGCCTCGGTCCCGATTCTCGCCTTGCCCACCAGCAGCCCACCACCAGTGGCTACACGGCCCCTAGCGATGGCGCCAATGGCTCGTTGTCGGTCAATTAGTGCGCAAATGGTATCGCCATGGCCAGCCACATCCGCTGAGCCACCCCACGCAGCCTGCAACCGTGCAGAAGGCCTCGGTCCCGATTCTCGCCTTGCCCACCAGCAGCCCACCACCAGTGGCTACACGGCCCCTAGCGATGGCGCCAATGGCTCGTTGTCGGTCAATTAGAGCGCAAATGGTATCGCCATGGCCAGCCACATCCGCTGAGCCACCCCACGCGGCCTGCAACCGTGCAGAAGGCCTCGGTCCCGATTCTCGCCTTGGCCACCAGCAGCCCACCACCAGTGGCTACACGGCCCCTAGCGATGGCGCCAATGGCTCGTTCGTGGTAAATTAGTGCGCAAATGGTATCGCCATGGCCAGCCACATCCGCTGAGCCACCCCACGCAGCCTGCAACCGTGCAGAAGGCCTCGGTCCCGATTCTCGCCTTGGCCACCAGCAGCCCACCACCAGTGGCTACACGGCCTCTAGCGATGGCGCCAATGGCTCGTTGGTGGTAAATTAGAGCGCAAATGGTATCGCCATGGCCAGCCACATCCGCTGAGCCACCCCACGCAGCCTGCAACCGTGCAGAAGGCCTCGGTCCCGATTCTCGCCTTGCCCACCAGCAGCCCACCACCTGTGGCTACACGGCCCCTAGCGATGGCGCCAATGGCTCGTTGGTGGTAAATTAGTGCGCAAATGGTATCGCCATGGCCAGCCACATCCGCTGAGCCACCCCACGCGGCCTGCAACCGTGCAGAAGGCCTCGGTCCCGATTCTCGCCTTGGCCACCAGCAGCCCACCACCAGTGGCTACACGGCCTCTAGCGATGGCGCCAATGGCTCGTTGGTGGTAAATTAGAGCGCAAATGGTATCGCCATGGCCAGCCACATCCGCTGAGCCACCCCACGCAGCCTGCAACCGTGCAGGAGGCCTCGGTCCCGATTCTCGCCTTGCCCACCAGCAGCCCACCACCAGTGGCTACACGGCCTCTAGCGATGGCGCCAATGGCTCGTTGGTGGTAAATTAGTGCGCAAATGGTATCGCCATGGCCAGCCACATCCGCTGAGCCACCCCACGCGGCCTGCAACCGTGCAGGAGGCCTCGGTCCCGATTCTCGCCTTGCCCACCAGCAGCCCACCACCAGTGGCTACACGGCCTCTAGCGATGGCGCCAATGGCTCGTTGGTGGTAAATTAGTGCGCAAATGGTATCGCCATGGCCAGCCACATCCGCTGAGCCACCCCACGCGGCCTGCAACCGTGCAGAAGGCCTCGGTCCCGATTCTCGCCTTGGCCACCAGCAGCCCACCACCAGTGGCTACACGGCCTCTAGCGATGGCGCCAATGGCTCGTTGGTGGTAAATTAGAGCGCAAATGGTATCGCCATGGCCAGCCACATCCGCTGAGCCACCCCACGCAGCCTGCAACCGTGCAGAAGGCCTCGGTCCCGATTCTCGCCTTGGCCACCAGCAGCCCACCACCAGTGGCTACACGGCCCCTAGCGATGGCGCCAATGGCTCGTTGGTGGTAAATTAGTGCGCAAATGGTATCGCCATGGCCAGCCACATCCGCTGAGCCACCCCACGCGGCCTGCAACCGTGCAGAAGGCCTCGGTCCCGATTCTCGCCTTGGCCACCAGCAGCCCACCACCAGTGGCTACACGGCCCCTAGCGATGGCGCCAATGGCTCGTTGGTGGTAAATTAGAGCGCAAATGGTATCGCCATGGCCAGCCACATCCGCTGAGCCACCCCACGCGGCCTGCAACCGTGCAGAAAGCCTCGGTCCCGATTCTCGCCTTGCCCACCAGCAGCCCACCACCAGTGGCTACACGGCCCCTAGCGATGGCGCCAATGGCTCGTTGGTGGTAAATTAGAGCGCAAATGGTATCGCCATGGCCAGCCACATCCGCTGAGCCACCCCACGCGGCCTGCAACCGTGCAGAAGGCCTCGGTCCCGATTCTCGCCTTGCCCACCAGCAGCCCACCACCAGTGGCTACACGGCCTCTAGCGATGGCGCCAATGGCTCGTTGGTGGTAAATTAGAGCGCAAATGGTATCGCCATGGCCAGCCACATCCGCTGAGCCACCCCACGCGGCCTGCAACCGTGCAGAAGGCCTCGGTCCCGATTCTCGCCTTGGCCACCAGCAGCCCACCACCAGTGGCTACACGGCCTCTAGCGATGGCGCCAATGGCTCGTTGGTGGTAAATTAGAGCGCAAATGGTATCGCCATGGCCAGCCACATCCGCTGAGCCACCCCACGCAGCCTGCAACCGTGCAGAAGGCCTCGGTCCCGATTCTCGCCTTGGCCACCAGCAGCCCACCACCTGTGGCTACACGGCCCCTAGCGATGGCGCCATTGGCTCGTTGGTGGTAAATTAGTGCGCAAATGGTATCGCCATGGCCAGCCACATCCGCTGAGCCACCCCACGCAGCCTGCAACCGTGCAGAAGGCCTCGGTCCCGATTCTCGCCTTGGCCACCAGCAGCCCACCACCAGTGGCTACACGGCCCCTAGCGATGGCGCCAATGGCTCGTTCGTGGTAAATTAGAGCGCAAATGGTATCGCCATGGCCAGCCACATCCGCTGAGCCACCCCACGCGGCCTGCAACCGTGCAGAAAGCCTCGGTCCCGATTCTCGCCTTGCCCACCAGCAGCCCACCACCAGTGGCTACACGGCCCCTAGCGATGGCGCCAATGGCTCGTTGTCGGTCAATTAGTGCGCAAATGGTATCGCCATGGCCAGCCACATCCGCTGAGCCACCCCACGCGGCCTGCAACCGTGCAGAAGGCCTCGGTCCCGATTCTCGCCTTGCCCACCAGCAGCCCACCACCAGTGGCTACACGGCCCCTAGCGATGGCGCCAATGGCTCGTTGGTGGTAAATTAGAGCGCAAATGGTATCGCCATGGCCAGCCACATCCGCTGAGCCACCCCACGCGGCCTGCAACCGTGCAGAAGGCCTCGGTCCCGATTCTCGCCTTGCCCACCAGCAGCCCACCACCAGTGGCTACACGGCCCCTAGCGATGGCGCCAATGGCTCGTTGGTGGTAAATTAGAGCGCAAATGGTATCGCCATGGCCAGCCACATCCGCTGAGCCACCCCACGCGGCCTGCAACCGTGCAGAAGGCCTCGGTCCCGATTCTCGCCTTGCCCACCAGCAGCCCACCACCAGTGGCTACACGGCCCCTAGCGATGGCGCCAATGGCTCGTTGTCGGTCAATTAGAGCGCAAATGGTATCGCCATGGCCAGCCACATCCGCTGAGCCACCCCACGCGGCCTGCAACCGTGCAGAAGGCCTCGGTCCCGATTCTCGCCTTGGCCACCAGCAGCCCACCACCAGTGGCTACACGGCCTCTAGCGATGGCGCCAATGGCTCGTTGGTGGTAAATTAGTGCGCAAATGGTATCGCCATGGCCAGCCACATCCGCTGAGCCACCCCACGCGGCCTGCAACCGTGCAGAAGGCCTCGGTCCCGATTCTCGCCTTGCCCACCAGCAGCCCACCACCAGTGGCTACACGGCCCCTAGCGATGGCGCCAATGGCTCGTTGTCGGTCAATTAGTGCGCAAATGGTATCGCCATGGCCAGCCACATCCGCTGAGCCACCCCACGCAGCCTGCAACCGTGCAGAAGGCCTCGGTCCCGATTCTCGCCTTGGCCACCAGCAGCCCACCAGCAGTGGCTACACGGCCTCTAGCGATGGCGCCAATGGCTCGTTCGTGGTAAATTAGTGCGCAAATGGTATCGCCATGGCCAGCCACATCCGCTGAGCCACCCCACGCAGCCTGCAACCGTGCAGAAGGCCTCGGTCCCGATTCTCGCCTTGGCCACCAGCAGCCCACCACCAGTGGCTACACGGCCTCTAGCGATGGCGCCAATGGCTCGTTGGTGGTAAATTAGAGCGCAAATGGTATCGCCATGGCCAGCCACATCCGCTGAGCCACCCCACGCAGCCTGCAACCGTGCAGAAGGCCTCGGTCCCGATTCTCGCCTTGGCCACCAGCAGCCCACCACCAGTGGCTACACGGCCTCTAGCGATGGCGCCAATGGCTCGTTGGTGGTAAATTAGAGCGCAAATGGTATCGCCATGGCCAGCCACATCCGCTGAGCCACCCCAAGCAGCCTGCAACCGTGCAGAAGGCCTCGGTCCCGATTCTCGCCTTGGCCACCAGCAGCCCACCACCAGTGGCTACACGGCCCCTAGCGATGGCGCCAATGGCTCGTTGGTGGTAAATTAGAGCGCAAATGGTATCGCCATGGCCAGCCACATCCGCTGAGCCACCCCACGCAGCCTGCAACCGTGCAGAAGGCCTCGGTCCCGATTCTCGCCTTGGCCACCAGCAGCCCACCACCAGTGGCTACACGGCCTCTAGCGATGGCGCCAATGGCTCGTTGGTGGTAAATTAGAGCGCAAATGGTATCGCCATGGCCAGCCACATCCGCTGAGCCACCCCACGCGGCCTGCAACCGTGCAGAAGGCCTCGGTCCCGATTCTCGCCTTGCCCACCAGCAGCCCACCACCAGTGGCTACACGGCCTCTAGCGATGGCGCCAATGGCTCGTTGGTGGTAAATTAGAGCGCAAATGGTATCGCCATGGCCAGCCACATCCGCTGAGCCACCCCACGCGGCCTGCAACCGTGCAGAAGGCCTCGGTCCCGATTCTCGCCTTGCCCACCAGCAGCCCACCACCAGTGGCTACACGGCCTCTAGCGATGGCGCCAATGGCTCGTTGGTGGTAAATTAGAGCGCAAATGGTATCGCCATGGCCAGCCACATCCGCTGAGCCACCCCACGCAGCCTGCAACCGTGCAGAAGGCCTCGGTCCCGATTCTCGCCTTGCCCACCAGCAGCCCACCACCAGTGGCTACACGGCCTCTAGCGATGGCGCCAATGGCTCGTTGGTGGTAAATTAGAGCGCAAATGGTATCGCCATGGCCAGCCACATCCGCTGAGCCACCCCACGCGGCCTGCAACCGTGCAGAAGGCCTCGGTCCCGATTCTCGCCTTGCCCACCAGCAGCCCACCACCAGTGGCTACACGGCCTCTAGCGATGGCGCCAATGGCTCGTTGGTGGTAAATTAGAGCGCAAATGGTATCGCCATGGCCAGCCACATCCGCTGAGCCACCCCACGCGGCCTGCAACCGTGCAGAAGGCCTCGGTCCCGATTCTCGCCTTGCCCACCAGCAGCCCACCACCAGTGGCTACACGGCCCCTAGCGATGGCGCCAATGGCTCGTTGGTGGTAAATTAGTGCGCAAATGGTATCGCCATGGCCAGCCACATCCGCTGAGCCACCCCACGCGGCCTGCAACCGTGCAGAAGGCCTCGGTCCCGATTCTCGCCTTGGCCACCAGCAGCCCACCACCAGTGGCTACACGGCCTCTAGCGATGGCGCCAATGGCTCGTTGGTGGTAAATTAGAGCGCAAATGGTATCGCCATGGCCAGCCACATCCGCTGAGCCACCCCACGCGGCCTGCAACCGTGCAGAAGGCCTCGGTCCCGATTCTCGCCTTGCCCACCAGCAGCCCACCACCTGTGGCTACACGGCCTCTAGCGATGGCGCCAATGGCTCGTTGTCGGTCAATTAGAGCGCAAATGGTATCGCCATGGCCAGCCACGTCCGCTGAGCCACCCCACGCAGCCTGCAACCGTGCAGAAGGCCTCGGTCCCGATTCTCGCCTTGCCCACCAGCAGCCCACCACCTGTGGCTACAC